AGTTTGCTTTATTAAAAATTTGTATTGATGATTTGTATTGATTGTAATTTGTATTGGTGACAAGGTCAAGGTTGATTAATAGCAAACTCAAATCTCTAAATTATAATATTGTGAATTAATTTACTAAATAAAGTTAATTAAATTTATTTACAAAAAAAATTAATCTAATCAACTGTGTAGCTATTAATGCTATGGATAAAGTGTAAACTCTTATATAAATATATAAGAGTTTACACAAATGAACTTATATATATTATATTACTTATAGACTTATATATTATATTACTTAGATTATTATATTAGATTATATTATATTAGATATATTATATTACTTAGCACTTATAATATTTTATAAGTTCATTTGTCATATTCAAATATTTTTTATACTTATTTTTTTCTAATTTACTTATTTACAAAAGATAATGGAAGCCCAGAGAACTTGGACTCCTCCCTGGTTACACTTCTGATTAGCCTCACTGTTCAGTCACATGTTTGAGCTATTATCATTAATCTTTGCTTTATTTTTGATAAAATTTTTATCTTGAATGAAATGCTGCCCTTGAAATGTGCACCCCAAGCAGCCACTTGTTTCACTAGTACCTAGAGCTAATCTTGATTGAAATTGAGTTCCATTAGATGAATCTTAAATTTCTAATTACTGCAAGGGCTGTTCAAGAAAGACAGAGTGATTTTCTTATAAATCAAATGCCAATGATACCACCATAAAAGTAATACATTTGAAAAGAGTGTCTCTTTACATGTACAAACCGAATTTCATTGCAAAGTGATATTACAGTCATTAGCAATGTATTTGGATAGATGAGCCTGTGACAATCTGCCTTCAAAAATTAAGGGAGGGAAAGAATACATGGCCATCAAATCTATGCATGTCAGCAGAAAACATGAGAAGTATGCAATGCTGCAGCAAGCATACACTGATAGTACACTATATTGTTCAGCGATATTTTGGTGGTTTAAAGAGTTTCAAGAAAGCAGGCGGTAACTATCAAAGAAGGTGGACTGAGAGCAGCTGTCACTGCTGTTATGAAACCATCAATACAGCTGCATCATCATTGAGATAGATGGGTAACAGTAAAACAATTCAGTGAAACCTTGCAACTTTCCTGTAGTAACACCAACAGAATTCTTCACAATCACTTGTAAATGTTACATGTTTGCACCTGATGGGTGCCATATCTATTGATGCATGAGCAGGCAGCCATACAGGTTGAAACATGCACAACATGCTATACCAGTTCTCTGATGGTGGCAAATATTTTTTGCAGTCAATTATCACTGGTAACTTTGGTCTAGAGGTAGGCACTATTAAATTTATCAACAGATGGTGTCTAATGCCTACCACTAGGCCAAATTACTTAACATTTAATTATTAACTGTAGCATTAAGATAGCCTGATATAATCTGGTAATTTTTTGGTTTTAAAAGTTATGATGATTATCTTCTTTGATCAATTTAACATGCTGCACCAGCATGTAATAACGCTAAACACTGTTGTTACTGGACAGTATTATATATCAGTTCTTAATACTCTCCAGCAACATACTGCACCTTGCATCTTCAAGAATGGCAACTCAAGCATGATAATGCAAGGCTTCATGTGGCAAATGTTATAATGGAATATTTGTCCCAAAAAAATCTATGTTCTACATCTGTCTTATAGCCCTGATCTCACCCTGTGACTTATACAAGCTCTCAACAGCCCTGGGTTGAGTAGGGACATTTTACCTTTTTTTAACAAATGAAATTGATAAAATATTTATTCATAGTATTCCTAAAGGCATTATTTTTTGTTAGTAAACAAAACAGTAATTTATATGAGTAGGAACCACTATGGGCAAGTGAAAAATTTCCAGCCCCCTCTCAATGATCTTGCAAACATGCAGAAAAAAATAGATGCACAATTATTGCAAAAAGGCATTGCAAGCTCAGAAATTTTATCATTTTATTTAGTACTGTTTAAAATTCAGTGCAATCTGAAAAAATTATCAGAGCCCAGAAGAGAGACAGCACTACCATATGGGGAAATGCCCATATGGTAGTGCTGTCTGTTCTGAAAATTTTGTTGCCCTGCTCCTGCAAATGGCAAGGGCAACAAAATTTTCAGGTGTATTATTTTTTTAAATATTTTATTTTTATTTATATTACACAGTGCAAGTTGAATACTGATTGGCAGAGTAATATATGACACTTCTAATTGGTATGGCATTTCAAACAAATTTTTTTCATTTTATGTAGGGAGGATAAGGCTATGCTAACATGTAAACATAATTAAAAGTTTAAATGTAATGAATGATTCTTTTAATATATAATCAGAAGATATTTTTGTATTGAACATTTAAATCATAAAACCATCAAAATTGCATTTGGAGTGTTTAATGGCAAAATGTGAGAACCTTTTTCCATCTTTCTACATTTAGCAATTGATGACAATTATTTTCAGGCCTATCATCTGTCAAACGGCTAGATTTAATTATTATAAAAAATATTACCAGAGTATTATGATAAAATATCCAATCAATAGATTCATGCTTCTGATAACATTATATTAAACTAATTTTGCATATAACAAAATATTTTAGGGAAATACAGTGGGTGATTGGTTAACGAACATAATCTGTTCCAAGACTTTGTTCACTATCCAAATTATTCGTTAACTGATTATCAATTTACGATAGATTTTTATGGTAATTTGATTAATTTGTTCTGGTGACCCCAAAAAATAAAAATTATATACTTTCTTACTATGTTTATTTATATATATATAAATAAATGTAGTAAGAAACATATATATATACACAGTCTTGCATTTTTATTAGTTATGTTTTTTCTGTTTGTGGGGGTTAAAGAATCTGTCTAATGTCAATTGCTTCTCTCTCTTCTTCAAGATTTTTCAGAAGTAATTAATAGCATTGTAATTGTACAGATCCCTAAGCCTATTAACCTCAACCTGGTTTGGATGCCATTCTAAGACCGTCACTCTGACATCATCCCACTTCTTCAAAAAAAATGTTTAATAGCAGATATCAATATTAATTCTCTTTTTCAGAAGAAAACATATTTTGCAGAGTTTCTTGGTGTTCTTCATTCAAGAGTTCTTGGTGTTCTTCTGTTGTCAGATCCGTTTCAGGTTCCATTATGAGCTCTTCAGCAGTGGCGTACCGTAGTGGGGGCGGCAGGGGCGGCCCGCCCCGGGCGGCATCTTTTAGGGGGCGGCAAAATTGCACAATAAATAATAATAATGTCTTGTAAAAATTTGAACCATCCTAATCTATACTTGCATCGCGCCTACGATAGTGCTATCGTCCGGACAGTCCGAGAATCGGCTCGCCGTCCGGGTGAACTAGTAATTTTTAATCCAAGGAAATCCTACGAAACCTGTTGACTTTTTTTTTTATTCGCTTGTACGATTCATTCGTGTTCATATACACCACTAATATCCAATAGAACTATTTTAAACAGGTCGCTGCACTACCACCGAATTTCATTGCTTGTTCTGTGACAAAACTGAATTTTGGTCTTTTAAATTGAAATACCTAAATAAGGGGGGTCGAAATTTTCCTCCGCCCTGGGCGGCTGACACCCACGGTACGCCACTGCTCTTCAGTGTTCTTTATTTCTCAGATATGATATTTGTTACTCCTTTATCTGCTCCAGTTTTCTTAATTATACTGTATCTTTCTTAGATAAGATTGAACTGTGTCCTACTGTAGATTTGTTCAAGCCATACTGCCCAGCAACATCAAGCATCTTCTGTCCACTCTCTACCTTTGCTATTATACTCTCACCTTTCGAAAATAAAAACCGACGCAAAACTTAACGAGTGCCTGCCCAACAGTCTTGCAAATACTATAAAAAAATGTTTCTGTCAGAAAAATAAAAAGCTGGAATTACAAGGGAGAGTTTCAAAGTTCGGAGGAATACTATCTGATCAGTATATACTGGGATGAGTGTCAATGTCGACATCTCCCACGCTCCAAAAAGTTTTGAATTGTTGTCTGAAGACAAGGGAAGACCAATCAGTATTCATTATTTTACATCACTTCTTCTTGTTTGTTCTGTGAGGTTTTCGTTGTCCGAACATAAAAATCTTTCACAAAAGTGTTCGTTATCCAATCCCCCACTGTATTATCTAAAAATCAATCTGTATTAAATGATATCCATACTTTTATTATGTTTAGCATTTTGTACATTGTATTGATTAAAAATGTTTTAAATTAACAACAACACATTTAGATTTAGGTCTTTCCTACTCTTACAATATCAGATAAGCTAATTCATTTCATAATTCAATTGCTTTTTTATAACATAACTCATTATTGAATATACTGGTTCCAAAAAGTATTTGTACATTGTAATTTTTGGTAATAACTTTGCATAAAAAATAACAATTAAACAACTGTTCTTATTTAATAGCTAATTAATATAATTAAAATAAATATCACTCTTAAATTTTTAATTCAAAAAGATAACTTTAATTTTCATCAATCCAGCATAAATTTTAATTGATAGTACTTTTTTGGGTGCCATTTGGAGATAAAACAACAAATACAGAAAACTGTTAAAAATTTATAAAAAGCAACCACTTAATGCTTTCAGTCAGAACATGTATGTAAACCAAATTATGCAAATTTAGGTCTTGACATAACAATAAAATTGCTGTGCGCAAATACTTTTTTAATAGTAAAATTTTCATTTTTAAAAGTACATATATGGTTTTTCTTATTTCAAATTTTAAAACTATTTTTCAATAAACATTTTATTTCATAATAAGCTTTGAAGAGGTTACTAACTTTATTTCTCCAATTAAAGTTACCCCATAAAATATAATGGGCAAATACTTTTTGGAGAACCACTATACATTAAACTGATTATCTATAAACTGTTACAGTATAATAGTTTAGATAACTTATTAAAGACAGCATACATACAGTATAATACCAGCTTAAATAATGCATAACTTCACTCGCCGATTCACTTACCTGTAACAATTCTGTTACGGAAATGGGTAAACTGACGGAAGCCGAACTGAATTTTGACATTTTCCTACCATTCAAAGTCAATATTGGAAGCCTGAAGTTTTTAAAGTTAGATCTTAAACGAAACTTACGTTTATACAACATAAAATATACATAATCTGTTGTACATCCTGTACATAATCTGTTTAAAAACAGTAGCGATTAAACGAGATTAATAAATCTTCCCACATTTATAAACACTGATCGTAGGATGTATTAGGACATTTTTCATAACTTATTTCTGTGACGTCACATATTAGTGGGATTTTTTAAAACAGCATCAATTAATCGCCAAATATGATTATCCTTCAGACAATTAGAATTATTTCATAGTAGTAATAATTTCATAAAGACACAAATACGAAATTTATTAACTTGTGTTTTCTTTGATTGTCAATGGGAAGTGTAACCTCACTTGATACACACGATAGTGTTACTTTTTCTTTCAGTAGATGTATATTTTATATTCCAAAGGCTAAAAAATAAAGGTGTTTTATTCTTCTAACAATTTTCTGGCTTCCCTTTAACATCATTGGATCTAACACAAGTACCGTAGTCCCCATGACAGTAAGAAAAAGAAAAAAAAAATGTATCTGTCAATGTCATCACATGTGAATCTTGTTAAGTGTTGCCAATACCGCAATTTACAAAATGCTGTTACTGTACTAAAAAGAAAATAAAAATAAAAATACAGTAGTTCTAAATTTCAGTGTCAAAAATCTTATTTATATTTTTAGTTATTTTTATTTTAAATTTTCGGTTAAATTTTACCGACGGACACCGTCATGGCGGCGGTCGCGACTATTCGTGCTTCCGACGGGCTCCTCCCGAAGGGTATCCGCCCATTGTTTAAGTTACGACAACGCGACACTTGGGCGATCTATCTAAAGGAATGCCTTCCGGAAGGTTTTTTAAGTGTAACTGGCCCCTATTCAGGCATTACAGATCTGGAGAAAACCCGGAAAATTCCACGTGGCGAGGTGCGAACCCACGACCGAACTCTCACAGTGTTCAGAGAACGGAACCGCTTATATATTTTTTTCTGTGTAGTTTTTCTAGTCTTGTTTGCAATACGTTTTTACTTTTAAAAAATTCTTTTTTTACTTTCCATGATCCGCAATGTTCCCGACTGTAACATAACTATCAATATGCACTAATTTGCACAGTTTCCAATAATAAATTTGAGCTGGTAGCGACTCATATTGACAACTCGCCGAAACATGTATGCGAAGCAATGACTCGACCGATTCGGACAAAAATTTTGCGCTTTAATAGAACTAATAAAATGGTGTCGTGTCGGAGACCGAATTTTAAAGTTCGACGTAGAACGGGAGACTTCGAGGTCAAAGGTCATTTTCAGGTTAATAAAGGGTACTGCAACACAGTTTTGGATACTTGTGCCACAGTGGCGTGCCGTCATTAGAAGCGTTGGAAGCGCCGCTTCCCTCGTATTCTCTAAAAAATAAATAAATATTAATTTTAATTATATGAAAATAATCGCACAATATTTTATTATAACCGCATTATGTATCTTATTACAAATTTCTATACTACACGTGGGAAATAAATTGCTATTGTATATTAAAATATTAGTGGCGGAATGGAATCTCCTGTATTTTCAGATTACGAAAGCCAGATTTGCGCATGCGCTTTACAGAGCATCAACCTCACCCGGTTTAGCCGGTGGTAGCCTACGACCTTGGTGAAAGCTGCACACGTATAAAGATTCCAATTCTATCAAGGACCGGTTCTGGGCTGTTAGCCGCCTGCCCACTAGATATTTCGATTACGTGAATAACGAGTAGATTTATAACTTAACCCAACCGATAAGAATTTACTGGTATGTTTTTACGATAATTCCGTATAGTTGACGGGAGTTAAAATGTCCATTAAAATATTTGATATATTTATTCCGCTCTCCGATTTTATACTACTCACGGATTTCGATGTTAAACCAGCGATATTACGATTTCGTACATCCCATCTTTAAGGGGATGTAGAAAAAAAAACGTGTACAATTCTTGTTAAAAAAATTAACCGTTACTTCGACAGCGTCATTTATAACTAAATTTACTGAATGAGAGAGATGCACCAGGTACAGAAAAGGCTCTAGAATTTATTTTCCTTAAATTTACGATTTATGTATCCGTTTGTCATAAAAATTTGTCTTTCCACTTTTTTCCCGAGACTACAAATATTCGAGTACAAAGTAACTGGTTTCGACTTATTTCTACTTAAGAAGTAGTTAAATAATTAAGCGATTAGGGAACTGGGGACGTAAACAAAACCCTGACGAAAGAGCCGGAATTTTACTTAAACAAAAGCTTAACCGAACCAATCTATAGCCGAGTACAATGGGGACTGATTTCTTCGAAATACTGTATTAGATGTAATAAAGACAGAAATTTTTCCAGTTCAATGAAAGTGAGTAAAAGTTGTAAATTTTGGAAATTTCCGTGGACACCTGATCTTAAAACGAATTACAGTAGTTAGAAAACAAATGACTTTTAAGTTTAACAAATTTAGATTTTTACAGCTATGATGAGAAACGTTTAAAATTTACAATAACCCTGTCACGTCCTTTGAGATATACTAGTGATGAGACAAAAGAGACATTAACCGGTATCGTCACCCTCGGGCAGGGCCGGATCTTCGCATAGACAAATGAGACAAATGTCTAGGGCCCGGTTAAACTGTCTATTTTGAAAAGATTTGTAAATAAGATAGTTTACTTTTCTGTTGGATAACAGTATATAATAAACAAATAAACAAAAATATATTTCTTTTTATATGGTTATTGTGAATTCTAAAATCTAAAGAAAATGTACGTGGGTTGTTCAAAAAGTTCCCGAACTTTTTGAATAGCGCATCTCTAGTTTGTTATTTTTTAATCCGCTTGAAGGAGTTGTGTCTGCGGAAACTCCCGAGTAACCTCCTTCAACCCGTTTGTTGATATCTTGTTTTGGTGATTAGCTACGGCCGTTTATGTGAAGTGGTGTTTGTGGGGTTCGGCGAAAATCAGCTCTTTGAAAGAACAGCATTGTTCTGTGAAATTCTGTGTGAAACTCGGAAAATCCTTCACGGAAACTTTCCACGGGTGGGTGAAACAGCCCCCGCACCAAAACAGCTCGACAAGTTCGCTCAAATGTTAAGGTGATGTTGACTGTTTTTTCGATGCAAAGG